CCAATGTCAGTAGATGAGGATATAGAAAACAATAGACAAACGAGTTTTACTGAAGAAAATGCCGCACTTGAGGAATGGAATCGTAAAAGCCTTAAACAAAGAAAAAGTTGTTCTTATTTAGTTCCAAACCCGCATTTAAGATATTTGAATTTGAAGAATAGCAATAAAATTCAATCGTTGCCTATTTTAAAAAATGTGTCAAGATTTCAAGACCTAAAGAGTTCTAAACTATTAACAAAACCGACAGAGTTGTTTTAAGTAACACCTGTGCATTTGATGCATTATCATCTATACTCATGGTAAGTAACAATAACTGTTGGTATAATTTTATATATTTATGAAAATTGGTTAAAATAATTTTTTTTTTTAATACACATAATCCACTGTTTTCTACATTTTAGAAATGTATTTTAGTGGGTATCAAGTTTTGATGCACAGTGTTATAATATTATTTAACTTTAAAAATCTATATTATTTTGTTAACTGCCATTTCAAATTATAATATTTTCAGATATCATATTGTGATAGTCAAATGTATTCAGAGTTCATGGATTCATTCAATGATGATAAGTACTTCAATTTCATATCAAGTTTAGTGAAAAATGGAATTACATCCTCAACTTACACTAAAAGAACAGAAGTTATAATGCTTTATTTAAAACCAGAATTACAACTGTTGCAATATAACATCACATTAGCTAAATGTGATGCTACCATGGGTCATGTTATGAAAGCTTTGCTAAAAGATTACCCAACAATTGAAGAATTTTCAAAATGTTCTTCCAACATTTGCATAAAAACATCCAAGTGGCAAGTTATGTATTTAACGTATCAGACGGGAAAAAACGGAAACTTAAGTGGCTTACAGCATTTCATCAAAGAACGCACTGGTGTGAAGTATTTGGAATGTAGTGAGAATTGTGATGGTATGAAAGCTGTACATTCAAAAATATCAACCCACCATTAATTTATTGATGTTTTGCAATGGGAAGGTAAATATATTTTTAGTCCTATAAGTAAAAAATAGTTTTTATCAACAGCTAAAAATCTAAGCATATTCATATTTTTTGTAGGTAATGATCTAACTTCATCCATGTGTAGTACTGAAGCAGCTAGCATGGTTCAAGTAAAGCTGAGTGATATTCCACAGATACTTGTGTATGAAAGCATCACATTTGAACTTCGTGGTGCTATACATATCTATAAAGGAAAAAGTGGATTGAGAAATTCGATAGGCCATTATACAGCTTATGCTAAAAGAGGTACGCATAACTGGGAATTGTACGATGATCTCAAAAAAAGGCCAATTCCAGTAAAAGAAAACATTTTAATATTATGTGAATTTTTAGTTTACACGATTTAAATTAAAATATTTTTAAAACAATGAACATGTATATTATAAATATTTAAATTTTAATATGTAAACATTTTGTTACTTAAAGTATGTGAATTTTATTTAAATTCAACTTAATTATATACAATACAGTACCTATATTAAATAGTTGTTAATAGTTAATATTTAATATTAAAAGTAAAAACTGTTTGGAAATTGAAAATTATTTTTTTTTTTTAATTTTTTTGATTCAAAAACAATTTAGTAGTTGGTTTTTTCTAGTTGAATAATGTTTAAAATTCATAACAAAGATTTTGACGTTAGTGTACTATGGAAGAAGTGTTAAGAATTCTTCCCATCAATCATTACATTAATTAAACAATAGTTAGAGCATTGCTGTTAGATAAATGTATAAAACCCATAACATTATAAAATCAGTTCAAAAAATGTAGTTCAAATCTTTTGTCAAGTGTGGAAAAGTATTCATGAATACAATAGATAAAAAAACGAGACGTTGAGTTAACGAAGATGTGCTTAAAGTCTTTAAATATAAAATTCTTTGTCCGTTACAACATAGATTTATTATTGTAGGTATATAATAATACTGATGTACAGGGTTTCGAAATAGGTCACGCAAATTCACGCCAATTGCACGCTAAATGTTGGCGTTGAAAAAAATTCGAAAAAAAGTTTATTTGCTGTTTGAGGGGGGCTGGGGAAATGGCAATAAAGGGGTAAAGCCCACAGTACTTGGGCCTTTGGGTTTACGGTTTCGAATTAGGTCACGCAAATTCACGCCAATTGCACGCTAAATGTTGGCGTTGAAAAAAATACGAAAAAAAATTTATTTGTCTTTTTGGGGGGGGGGCTGGAGAAACGTCTAAAAAATGGTAACGCAAGTGGTACTTGGTGTTTTGAATGCAGGGTTTCGAAATAGGTCACGCAAATTCACGCCAATTGCACGCTAAATATTGAGACATAAAAAAGTCCTTAAAATTCAAAATTCGGATGAGGAGGGGCTGTAGAATTGTTTCTACAGCCCCCCCCCCCCCACTTTGTTTACATTTTTAAACTTGACCTAGTGCCAAGCAAATTCCAAAACCAGTCACGCCAATTCACGCTAATTGCACGCTAAATATTTAACCAAAAAAAATTTTGAAATTCGATATGGGGGGGGGGGCTGGAGAAACGTACGTATTATATATTATTATTATTATTATAATATATTATATATATTAATATATAATATATTATATTATATATTACGTACCTATATATAGGTGTACTATTAGTGGGCCTCAAAGATTTTTTTACAAAATTGTTGGTCCACACAACTAAAAAGGTTGGGAACCGCTGGACTAAATATTATAATAAAAATATGCTTTACCAGGAGTAGCTGCTGAATACGGAATAGAATTGTCAATAAACAATCCACATCGTTGTATTTCTTTTCCAATTTCTTTCTTCAGATATTTCATAGCAAATTCTTCGGTATTTTTTCTGTACTCCGTGGCTTTAGTGGCTATATTACTATAAAGAATGTCATGGACAGTTGATTTGCAAGACGTTTGAGGACGCATCTTGCATACTCTTCCAAAGTTGGATGCTGTTAAACGGTTTCTTCTCTCAGCAAAATACTTTTGACTATTCGATTGATCTCTGGTTTCTCGTTCTAATATTACTTTTTGAGATTTAGATAGTGTAATTTGTTGAATAAATTCATGTTTTTTTATTTGGAACTCATCCTCTGACAACATATCTAATAGAGGTAGGGCTAACCCATAGTGTTCATCAGGACCTTTTGATACACATTTTTTTTGTTTAAATTTTCCATTTAACGCAAAAAGGGCTCGTCGTTTTTTTAAACATTTTCTTTTATCATTAGTGTATTTTAAAATTTTTTTGCCGATTATTCCTGTAATACAATTTATTTTTTAAAACTTATAGATATTATTAGAAAATGTTGCAACATTTAACAAAAACAAATTATGTAATTAACCTGGACTTTTTTCTGTGATTTTTTTATGCATCATACTAATAAAACTGCCATCCGAGTTAAAAGAAACAATAGCCGCTTGAACTCGAATATTATACGACTGTCGTTGAGTAAAGTTTATTCTTTTGCCAGCGATGTGTTTATTTATTATGCTGTTAAATTGTTCACAATAGTTATTGTCAACATCATATAACAAACTTTTTGCATTGTCAATAACACGTCGAATAGCAGAAGTTATTTCATTCATGAGTCCACACTTTTCAATCTCAGACACTAAGTTTTTTTCACCCAGTTTTGGCCCAGTGCAAAAATATTTTTCACATCTAGAATGTTCACCGAAAATATGATATGGGCTATTCGAAATATCTTTTTTTAAACCTAAAACAAGTTTAGTATTAGTTAACTATTTTTTACGGAAAAATTAACTAAAGCTCAAAATTTAATTTTCTTATTTATTACCCTCAATTTTTTCATAATAAGATTCACTTAAGTTCTTTCTGTATTTCACACCTTTCGTTACAGCAGTTCGAAATCTCATTATATTCCTAATAATAAATTTGCGTATAAAACAAGGATATTCGGTTTTTTTCGTAATTCCGAGTAGCTTTTGTCCATAGTTACGGAGAATATGGTTGCGACACTCAATTTTTTCTATTAATACGTTTGGACCATATGGCATTACATCGTTCAATTTTTTCGTTACGCTACTATCTCCATCTCCTATTATTAAGGTACATAATGTCAACATGAAAAATAAAGTATTATAATCGATGTGTTAGGCATGTATATAGTATATTACGTAATATCATTGATTATAAATAGGTAGTACTATTTATAATCGATGGTAATATTTACCAATCAATTTATTGTACTTCAGTCCATGCATTTCTATACTGCATAGAAACCCTTCAGAAATAGCATCAGCCTCAATGCTTGTGGCACCTTTAGACCAATTTAAAAAACATTCATGGGTATTTGGTTCTTTTCCTATTGTTTTTGCCCTTTCACACACAACGCAATACCGATTTCGAATTCCACAAAACAAAATTTTTTTACTTCGGTAACCAATAATTGTAGCCTATAACATTATTTTATAAGACATTTTATTCAACATTAAATTATTCAAAATTATACAACGGAATGAAATGGTAAATATTTATACCGCTCCTGATAACGCATCATATTTGGTTTTGTAGCTGCGTTACTCCATTGGCCATCAGCTATCACAGGACACATAGGAGTACCATCTTTATCTACGTCACCAGCTTCAATTGCTAAGCGTTTTTCCTCAATACCAGCCACCTTCATAGCGTCCCATGCAGAATCTTTTACGTGTTTACTTAACACATTATTATAACTCATGAATGTTGTAGGAGACATACATGGGATATCTAAACTCGCTGATAATTCTGCTAATTGTGTATATCCTATACCGATTGCGATAGTTCCATTTACAGCAGCCTTGTTTATTGGAATATAACTAAGATCTTGACTTTCTGATGTTAATACAGTTTCCTTATTGCACATTTTACATTTAAAATACCAACGTGTCTCAAATCCCATACAGATTTCATTTACAAATTCAACATCCATAAATGTACAATCAAAACCACGAATATGATTATTAGGATTTTGTATTTGTGTGAATACATGTTTCATATCAACAATTCGCCGTCCTCCATTTAACAAATTCAGATCACTATGAATTATAATATTTTTATACAGTAAATAAGTTAGTTACACCATTTAAAAATTAAGTCTTACGGAGTTCTACATGTATCCTCTTCGGCAATTTTAAGATCATGACTATTTATTTTAGATATTTCCTGGTCACTGACATTTATGTAAATGTTATTTAATGGTGTACTACTCATGACTAACGGTATCTGTGTTTCACATTCATATGGACCATTTTCAATTGCAATTGAAATGTTATTTGCATAACTTGTAGATCTATACAATGAAATATATTATATATACCAATTAAAATTATGAAATTCAAGAAACTCGCTCTGCTGTACATTAGGGGGTGAGGGGTGGGGTGGACCTTGGTCTAGAGTAGGTCACTATAATGTATGTGTTAAATTTGAATACAATGATAGGTATCATTGTAAATTAAAAACGATTCTGAACGGAGATGATTTGCCAGTCTAGGATATATTACTTTTAAATATTGTTATATATTTAATTTTATTACAAGTAATTTATTTTTCAATTAGGACGGGTTGGCGGTTGTATATACGGCATGGTTAAGTACTTTTTTAATTATAACAAAAATTAAAATTCCTTTGCTAGAAAATCGTTTTTTTACGCGTGAATTTTCGATTTCGTAAAAATTAAAACTTTAAAAGTTCGTAAATTTTAGATTATTGAATAACCCTCAAATTTGTTTATACTTATTAATTTCAATTTTCAATTTTTGTAAGTGGAGTGTAGATTTAAACATTTTTTTTTAATTGTTACCTACAATTATTGATATTTTATAAAGAAAAATAGTTTAGAAATAATTGTATTTATTTTTCTTATTGTAGTAAGCCAGCTACTACGGAGTAATACTAATTTCATAAGTACATAGTTATTATTATAATATACGATGAATCGGGATTCAGAATTAGGCGTATAGGCTGACAGACGTTTTCGCTCAGAATCATATAGACATACAGTATACAATGATTTTATTATATCATTGAATTTAAATTTAACATAGGTATCCATTACAGCGACCATTTCTAGTTTCTAGACACCTATATTTAGTATCTACAGCAAAGCGGTACCCACTTTTCAATTATCAACTTACGAATGTACACTATCTCTGGTATCTTCTTCTGTTGTCATATTATTTACTGACGTGGGCGTTAGTGACGAACAAATTACATTATTATACTCACTAAAATTAATTTTAAAATTCAAAGCAATTATTCACTACATACTATAAAATGTTAATTTTCTTTCAATACTTACAAATTGTTACTATCATCTATCGTTACTGGTACTGGTGCTGTGGATATAGTCGAAACATTTATACTATTCTCACTGAAATTAAGTCTCCAGTGGCGGCTCGTGAGGTTCACGTAAAGTGGTGCACAAAAAATGTATAAGATATCTATGTTAGATGGTAAAAAAATTTATTTTGGTATAGGTACATACCACGAATAATACCAAAATAATGTACCTACTTATCTTATCTAAATTAAATTTTTTTAAGCATTTTACCCCATTAAAATATAAATGAAATTATAAAAAATTATCAACTACTTATTATTAACTTATTATGTATGAATATAAACACAAATACACAATATCGTTGTAATTATAATTTATTATTAGAGGCTAGAGCTATACAATTACAACAAATTACAAATATTATTATATGAAATTAATCAGTTACATTTTTAAAAACTAAATCTATACGTCCGTCTTTTTTTTGTATAAACATATAAAAACATGTATAACATAATATAATAATAATAAAAAGTCTATTATAGTAGTTATTAGTTGATTTGACTGCTGCAGTGCTGCACACTAGCGGCAGTTGATGGATACTGTACAATGATGCGTTATCGTTTCGACGAATGACACGATATCGCGATAGCGCGACAATAAAATAGGATCGGTGCACACTAGTGGTGGGAATTATCGTTCCTTTTGTGGAATCGTTCCAATCGGTACAGTTACAATAAAATAACGATTCCAAAATACTCGTTACATCGGTACAATCGGTACATTTTTTTTTTAGTTACTATTGTACTCAGATTCGTATTGTTCTACGCTGAAAGATCAAGTATTCAAGTGTGTACTCGTTCTTGAAATATAATGGATATTTATGAACGAATAAGCTTCGACGCTTCGTACACCCATTATACAATACCTAGTATACCTACTATTTTACTGTATTCGGAAATTATCACCGTTCTAATAATATTATATAATGCAGTTACAATTAAATAAATATATGATTCATAAAAAACAATGTTTCATATATTATTATAAAATATAATGACATAAAAGTGTTGAAACTTGAAATATACAATTTTAATACCTATTAGTTTATCACCTACTATTGTTAAATACAAACGCTAAATAAAAATAGATTTGTAAATACTTATTTATTTATAAAAGAACACAATAAAATAAAGAAATAAACATTTCCTGTGTCTGATTTCGGTATAGTTGATAGTTGTGAAATGTGTAATGGTATTCGTATTCTATTAATAATATTTAATATTTACTTTATCAAGAATCAAAACTATAAATTACGTATAATATATCACAATACACATACGTATAAATAATAATATTGTTTTGAGTTGTTTTTATTTTACATTACTGTAATTGAATTTATTTTCATTTGGTTAACAGTCGCCATTGGGTAACCATCTTACTATCTTAGACCTTAGTTATTAAGTACTTAATTTTTATGAAGTTAAATAATTTGGTGTTTTCGAGATTTTTGAATCAACAATATTCTAAAGGTAAGTGCTGGATTTATGTTAGATACTATCTAATAGATAGTACGCTGAGACAGTATAATGTAACGTGATCGTCAAAGAAAAAAATAGTTTTAATTACTGCAAGTATTAATGAATTTATAAATAAATACTTTGTACTTTGCTGATTATCTTTGGAACATTCATTCAACTATTTTTTTTAATAATAAAAACAAATATTATTTTGTTATTTCATATTTTCATATAGAATAGACAATAGTACATACTTTTATTTTTGTAAGTTCTAGAAAATATTATTTTTAAATGGAGAAGAAAAGTAGTGACATCTGGAATCACTTTTCAGTGATAAATAATGAGAAGGCAAAGTGTTCATACTGTTCAAATCCAATTTCGTATAAAGGGGGTTCAACTACAAATTTAACCAAACATTTAAAAAGGAAACACTATGTACAATACGAAGCTAGAAAAATTCCACGTTTAGAAATGGTAGAGCAAAATTTAGACGAACATGAACCTGATGAACCTAACGAGAAAAGACCACAAACCTCACAACCTCAAACTTTAAGTTGTCAACCTTCCACAACGACCAACATAAATACAAAAAAAACACACCCATTACAAACTCGAGTAGATTCATATATTATGAAACCGATTTCTCTAAATAAACAAAAAATACTCGACGAACAGTTAGCAATTATGATTGCAAAAGAGTTTCAACCATTTAGTTTGGTGGAAAATGAAGAATTTAAAAAATTCGTTCATCTATTAAATCCTGGGTACAAATTACCATCTAGAAAAACAGTATCAAAATCATTATTACCACAGCTACTCAATGAAACTAAAGAAAGAGTGAAAAATACTTTAAATAATGCTCAATTTATAGCGTTTACTACTGATGGTTGGACCTCAATAAATAATGATAGCTTTGTTGCCGTGACCGTTCATTTTATTCATACAACAGAATGTGTTTTAAAGTCTTTTTTACTTGGGTGTTTTAATTTTGAAAAATCTCATTCTAGTAATAATTTGTCGGTGTTTTTAAAAGATTGTTTTAATGAATGGAATATTAGTGAAAAAATTAAGGTTGCTGTCACTGACAATGCGGCAAATATAACAGCAGCAATCAAAATGAATAAAAACTGGCGTCATATACCATGTTTAGCTCACACAATAAATTTAATTGCTCAAGCTGGACTAGAAGAAATAAACCACGTATACAAAAAAGTTAAGAAAGTTGTCGAGTTTTTTAAACGAAGTACACAATCATATAAAAAATTAAAAAATGCACAAACTCAAATGGGTTATCCAGAATTGAAACTGATTCAAGACGTTACTACGCGCTGGAATTCAACTTTTGACATGTTTCAAAGGTGTATACTAATTAAAGAACCACTCATTTCCACAATTGCTATAATAGGTAACGTAGACAATTTGACTAACGAAGATTTTGAAATAATGCAACACTATTGTGAAATATTTAAGCCCTTTAAAGAAGCCACTGTTGAACTTAGTTCTGAAAAAGGCGTTTCAATTTCTAAAGTCTTAATTATAACTCAAATGTTACACTCTCACATTAAAAATAATATACAGAACATTCAACTACCACATACAATTCATTTGATGCTTTCTAAAATGCTAACGAAAGCCGATAAAAAGTTTGAAGGTATTGAAAATCAACGAGTATTAACAGAGGCAACTTTATTAGATCCGCGTTTTAAAAAAAAAGCATTTGATAACCATATTATATACCAGCGTACGTACGATCAAATCGTAGAAAAAATTGCGGCAATAATTAAAAGAAATAAAAATAATGACGAACATAATATAAATACACCATTGAACAATAATGCAATAGAAAATGAAACATCTGAAATTTGGAAACACTTCGATGCACAGGTATATCGTATACTAAATTTATATATTTAATATATTATTTATAAGTGTTTGTAACTTAAATCATATTGTAATTGTATGTAGGTGTCAACACCAACATTAAGTACACCAACATCTGAAGCTATTGAGGAGATCGACAGATATATAAGTGAGCCGTTACTCGACAGGAAATCAGATCCACTTAAGTGGTGGAATAATAGAAGAAATATCTATCCAAATTTGTTTGAGATGATGTTATTAAGGTTGTGTGTGCCGTCGAGTTCTGTTCCGTGTGAACGAATCTTTTCAAAAGCCGGATATACTATTTCAGAAAGACGTAGCAGGTTATCGTTAAAAAACGTTGAAATATTAATGTTTTTAAATAGTAATTATTAAAATAAGTAAAATTGTTCATCATTACTATTATTATTATTTTTAAACTTTAAAATCAATGCTTGTTATTAGTATTCATATTAAAATAATAAATTACTTTACACTTTTACAGTTTTTAAAATGTGTTATTGTAATCCGTGGTATAGTATACAACTTACTATAGTTACTACCTTCAGTATTTTATTTTTAAATAAAATAGTTTTACAATAATTAATAATACAAATTTAAAAATGTACTGATGTAACGATTGGAAAAATCAGTTAGATTTAATCAGATATTATCCGAGTGTTTACACTTCTAAGTTTTATTTTAAGAAAACCAATTGTAAAATCGACAAAAACAGCGATAACGGCCTCCGACGATCTATCGACCGTAAGTCGTAACATGGTAGTGGGGTAACGTACTACGTACCGAAGTCGTGCGTAGAGTTTACGCGCAGAATTAGAAACACAGTGGAACGAACAAAATATTTGTATTTCATGTCCTACTTTTAGTATAGCGACTAGTCGCCACTCGCCAGTCGGTACTCGGTATCGGTATCGCCTAATGGGGACCATTTTGTAGTTAGAAACTTTGTACCGACGTAACGTTTGAGGAACGATCAGCTGTACTCGTTCCTACTCGGTCCACCAATGTAATCGTTACTTTGTACCGAATACAGCAGTAACGACCCACCTCTAGTGCACACATTAAATGTGCTCCAAATTGCCATGTATTACCGGTCGGCGTGTCGAGGCATGTAGCTAATTTTTATACGGCCGCCCGGAGCACAAACAACTTGTGCTCCGCGATATTATTTAATCGTTTATAAATATATTTCTTAACATAAAAGCTGCAAAAACTTGTTTTTATTAATATAAATATTTATATTTTTTTTAATTACAGACCATTTGCATAATCATCAATTATATTATGTTATTATGGCATATAATAATTTTTTAATATAATTTTTTTGGGTGGTTCACGTGCTCCTGTGCACCATACCACGAGCCGCCACTGATAAGACTTTAAATTAATTTCAGTTGAAAAGTTTTAAAAAATTATATTTTTTTTAACTCACAAGTTTTCTCTATTTTCTCGTATCGGCGTAGACGAAGCATCAATATTACTTTTGTGCTCACTAATATTAAAAATATAATGTACAAAATCATTGGCAAAAAAATATAACTTTGAATTAACCAACTTTTGACCTTAGGTATACAAGTTGAACATTTTATAAATTTTTAATTACAAAATAATTATTCAATTTTAAATTTGATAAATTTTGTCAAAATTCTATCTTTAAAAGGTTATAAAAAAAAATTGTGCCCATGTATTTTTAATGTTTTTCAACTGATAGTGTAATAATATATCAGGAGCCTTGTATTAAATTTTTACACTTTTTGGACCAATAGATAAAACTTAATTGATATTTATAGAAAAAAAAAACTAAAAAAATTGAAAACTGTAAATGTCCGTAAACAGCTCAAAAAGAGTCAAATATTTTCAAAATTGTATGGTGTATAGGAAATGCTAATATAAACATTCAGTGAAATTGTCATGTATCTACAGTTATTCGTTTTTGAATTACAACAAAATAAGAAAATCGCTATATAAGAAATCAAGGAATATCCAATGTTGTAAAAATTTGAATTTCAAACGCTCATAAAAATTTAATTTGACTTTCTTATAGACATTTTTTTTTTGATAAAGGTAGATAATCTTAGGTATAAGACATATTATATACTTATGACTTATCTATGGTATTAAAAAAAATGACCTAAAATATGTACCTATAATAAATTCCAAATTAATCATACCACATATCCATTCGGTACTTATAATGCGTTATACATCAACAACAAACCCTGATACTATCATAGTCCAGATCCAGAAATATATAATAGTGTACTTTAGAAGTTTCAAGTAGCCACGAATAATATTATACAATCACAACAAAATAACTAAAATAGTTATTCTAGATTTTTTATTATGTAATTTCGTCCAAATTTGAACTTAAAATGACTATAAAAATAAACTGTGATTATGTATTTTTTAGATTTTTGGTAACAGAAATAACTACTTACGTTGAATCTTGTTTTAAATTTTCAATTACAAAAAAAATTCGTTATTCGTTTTTGAATTACAACAAAATAAGGAAATCGCGATCGCTACATGAGAAATCGAGGGAATATCCAATGTTGTAAAAATTTGAATTTCAAACGCTCATAAAAATTTAATTTGACTTTCTTAGACATTTTTTTTTTTGATAAAGGTAGATAATCTTATGAGGATTCTTGTATTCCTTTTTTAAAACCTTAGATTTAAAAAGAAAAATTTTTACGAATTCTTAACTCAAAATAATTTGCTAATTTTCGTGATTTTTCCATATTTTGTTAATTTTTGAACTTTAAATGCTTATAAAAAAAAACTGTGACTAAGGATTTTTATTATTTTTCATCTGCCTTTGAAACAATATACTAGGAGCCTTATATTAAATTTTCAAGCTTTTTTAACCAACAAATAAAATGTTATTGATATTTTTAGAAAAAAAACTAAAAAAAAAAACGGAAAATAAAAATGTTCCTAAACAGTTCAAAACAAATCATAATATTTCGAAAACTTTATCGTATATAGAAAATGCAAATATAAACAACCAGTGAAAATTTCATGTATATACATTTATTTGTTTAAGAGTTATACCAAAAACCAAAAACGATTTTCTCGAAAACAGATTTTACGTAATAATTATCGTTTTTTCTTTTGTTTTTCACGGCACTTTTGAAAACTACTGGTACCAAAGTACCAACTAGATCAGGGGTGGCCCGCAATAGATTTTGATGCGGCCCTCACTTCAATTTTAAGACCATGAATTAATTATACATAATATATTAATATTACGAGAACAAATTTATTTTAAAAATATAAACCAACCATCAAATAACGCTTATGGATTTAGCTTTTTTAGTTGACATAACTACTCATTTAAATGAGTTAAACGTACGTCTTCAAGGTAAAAATCAACTCATTAGTAATATGTTTCAAATAATAACTGCCTTTGAACTGAAACTTAAATTATGGCAAAGTCAAGTTAAGGTGAATAATTGTATGTATTTCCCTGTGTTGGCCGATTACAATCCCAAGAATAACGAGGAATATGCTTCTTTGATTTTAGTTTTAATTAATGAATTTGAAACCCGTTTTCAAGATTTTCGTAAGAATAGTCAACTCTTAGCTATTTTCGCAACACCATTTTCGGTTGATATTACTGCTGTGGAAACTAAATTTCAAGTGGAATGCATTGAGTTGCAATCATCTGATATTCAACTCAAAGAAAAATTCAATCAGTCATCTTTATTAGATTTTTATAAATTATATCTACCCAAAGAAACATATCCAGTCCTTCATGACCATGTCTTATTCATGTTCTCGCTTTTCGGCAGTAGGTACTTACATTTGCGAACAATTGTTTTCAAGAATGAAAAACATAAAGAGTAAGAATCGGTTCACTATATCAGACAAGCACCTTGAAAGTTGTTTAAGGATTTCCACAACTTCAATCGATCCAGATATTGATACATTACATTCACAAAAAATGAAATTTCAAATTTCACATTAAAAAAAAACTAATGACTTTTAACTTTTTAAACTAAAACTTTTTTTATTATAAATAAATATATTTTTCTGTGTACTTATAATTGAATTATTAAATATTAATAATTGTAAAAATATTTCTGCTTATTATTCGCTATTGTAAAATTATAAAAAAATGTATTGTTGTATTATTGATTATAATTTAATCATTAAATTTGAATGAATTATTATTAAAAAAAAGTATGTGGCCCACAACAACTTCTACCTATATGATGTGGCCCAGTCTTCACAAAAGGTTGGACACCCCTGAACTAGATTCACTTTCTTATCAGAAAAGATAGTGTTGAAGAAAATCCAAGCACTTTTACTGTCCTGAAAGGTGATGTCAGACACAAAAAAAAACACGTGTGTTTTTGGTTTGGCAGATTTTTTAGTGGGCACCCGTTGTAGGTATTTGCCATGCCCGGGTGGGGGATGGCGGCACTTTTCTCCGGACTTCATGATTTTCCCGAAGAAAAATGCCACCCGCGGCTGGGTTTGAACTAGCGTCGGTGTGCGTCGCAATTCGCTCGGCCACTCCGTGCTATAAGCTAAAAAATTATACTTTTAAAAAATTAAATGACTAGGAAGATACGAACTTACCTGTTCATTTTTTTGTAACGGCGAAGTGCAAGCAGTGCATTGCCAGTTAATCTTTTATTGCAGGTATTTATTTTTTTTTTGTTTTTTTTATTACCCATAATGTAAAAAAACAACGGGGAACAAAAATAACATAAAACAATTTTTTACACGTCTCACAAACAATGTTTAATCACTAGTGACTAAGGACTAGGATAGGAACGTAAATCGTACGTTTACGTAGTGAACTTGCACAATGCATGCTATTAGACGTCAAGACTCAAGACTGTTGTATGAATTATATTATGTTGTTCAATATGACAATAATAATATGTACGTAGTATTTATCAATATTATAATTTATAAATATACCAGAAACACGGCACACCATCGCTGTTACGGCGGCGGTGGTGCTATTTTTATAATTCAGTATTTCAGTCTAGTCCACGGCTATAGATACAAGTATAGCCGTGGTCTAGTCGAACTAATTGCGTTGTAGAGTGGGGGGCGCTGCCGCCGGCAAAACCTACGTCGGCAGACGACCGCTAGTAGCAGCACTTGACGGGAAGAATGAATATTTTACAGCGTATAAACATGTTCACTTAGATTTTAAATTCTTCGCTTCAGAATGATTTTAGGACAAAAACACCTATCAACAAAATTAAAGATAATAATATTTTCGAGGGCCCCACGTAGGTTTTTTTCTTTGTTCCAAATATTAAGCTCAGTACATCGTTTAAAAATAATGATTTTTTCAACATGTTAAAATGACAGTAACTTTTCAAAAAATTAATTTTTTGAAAAAAGGCTAC